AAAAAAAAAAAAAAAAAAAAAAAAAAAAAGGAGTAGCCCAGCACACAACCCACAACCACAAAAACATTATACTAAGTGAAAATGTCAGACACTCAGGTGCAGGAGCTCACACCTGTAATCCCAGCACTTTGGGAGGCCAAGGAGGGCAGATTGCTTTGAGCTCAAGAGTTCAAGACCAGCCTGGGCAACATGAAGAAACTCCATCTCTATAAAAAGTTAAAAAATTAGCCAAGCATGGTGGTGTGCGCCTATAATCCCAGCTATTAGGGTGGCTGAGGCATGAGAATTGCTTGAGCCTAGGAGGCAGAGGTTGCAGTGAGCCAAGAGTACACCACTGCACTCCAGCCTGGGCAACAGAGTGAGATCCTGTCTCAAAAAAAAAGAAAATATCAGACACTAAATGTCACGTTATATGATTTCATTTATATAAAATACCCAGATTAGGTAAATGCATAGAGACAGAAAGCACACTGGCCGGGTGCGGTGGCTCATGCCTGTAATCCCAGGACTTTGGGAGGCCGAGGCGGGCAGATCATCTGAGATCAGGAGTTCGAGACCAGCCCGACCAACATAGAGAAACCCAGTCTCTACTAAAAATACAAAATTAGCCGGGTGTGGTGGCGCATGCCTGTAATCCTAGCTGAGGCAGGAGAATTTCTTGAACCCGGGAGGCAGAGGCTGCGGTGAGGTGAGATCAAGCCATTGCACTTCAGCCAGGGAAACAAGAGTGAAACTCTGTCTCAAAAAAAAAAAAAATGTTGGGAGCTGAAAAGGCCAAAGGGATGGTGATCAACTCAGCATTCCACTGGAGGCTACATGATCAAACAGCAAACTGTTTATCATAAGTACAGAATGTGGGCAAACTTGCTTCTGTACCTGTCCCAGAAAGTTTGCTGAGGGCCATCACTCCCTGGCGCCAGGCTCCTTGAGGCCATCTACGGGGACATCTAGAGCCTATTGTTAAAGGAATGCAGTCTCACAAGCCTGCTGTGAACCAAAGGGCCCGGCCCCCCCCCCCCACCCCTTCTTCCAAATATACTATTTTATCTTTGTCTTTTTGTTTGTTTGTTTGTTTGTTTTTTGAGACGGAGTCTCGCTCTGCTGCCCAGGCTGGAGTGCAGTGGCCGGATCTCAGTTCACTGCAAGCTCCGCCTCCCGGGTTCACGCCATTCTCCTGCCTCAGCCTCCCGAGTAGCTGGGACTACAGGCGCCTGCCATCTCGACCGGCTAGTTTTTTTTTTTTGTATTTTTTAGTAGAGACGGGGTTTCACCGTGTTCGCCACGATGGTCTTGATCTCCTGACCTCGTGATCCGCCCGTCTCGGCCTCCCAAAGTGCTGGGATTACAGGCTTGAGCCACCGCGCCCGGCGTTATCTTTGTCTTTTATTCTAGCATTTGCCCCGCTTTGTTCAGTCCACCAGGGATTGTCGTCGGTTACAAGTGGCGCCCCGAACAGCAACAGAATCAGGCACTCTACAAAAAGAGGCAGAAAGCACATGGGTGGTTGCCAGGGTCTACTGGAGGGGAGAATATGAAGTGACTGCAAGTAGTGGTTGTACAACAAAAGGGTACGGGGCTTCTTTTTAAGTGATGAAAATGTTCTAAAATTGACTTTGGTGATGACTGCACATAGTAAAAGCCACTGAATTATACAGTATGTGACTAATAGACCTGTAATTAGGAAAAGCTGTCAGTAGAACTTAATTATGATAAACCTACTAAAATATTTAGGGGCAAATGTATGAATGTCTGCAACTTACTTTGAAATGCCCCCAAAAAACAAAGCAATATTTTACAAGACGGATAAATGTGACCAGGTGAGGTGGCTCACACCTGGAATCCCAGCACTTTAGGAGCCAAAGGAGAGAGGATCACTTGAGGTCAGGAGTTCAAGATCAGTCTGGACAACATAGTGAGATGCCATCTCTACAAAAAGAAAAAAAGATGGATTAATGATGAGTAGAAGGATGATATACAGATAGATATGTAATAAAAGAAACACAATGAAATGATGACAAAATCCAGGTGGTAGGCATACAGGTATTCAATTGTAAAGTTCTTTAAATCGTGTTATATGTTTGAAAAGTTTTGTAACCTGGAGAACAGGGAAGCTTGTTCAGTAAGGTGACCAAAAACAATGTAAATATTTTATAAACTAATTGCTCTTCTATGTAAGAGTAAATTGGAAGAGAACAGAAAGGTCAAAAATAAAAATACACCATTTACAATTGCAAAAAAATTAAAAACCAAGGTGCTGATGAAGGTCAGGGAGAAACATGTTTGGGTAAACACAGAATCATAACCAGTTCTTAAAAGTGATAAGTGAACATTTTAAGTCTTAAAATTCTATCTAAATATATCCATATACTTAGTGATTCAAGTCGCAATGGTGCAGTTTTGCCTCTTGATGGTATACTATTACAGAAATCTTAAAAAAAGTTTTTAAACAAAAACATGTATGATATGTTTAGTATAAGAATGTTATAATATAAAATTAAATAAGGCAAATTATACCAATGTTTCAGTAGTTTATCTGAATTGTGAAAAATCAAGCATAGAAAACTGAAATTAAAATATACGAAAATCTTATCAAAAGTCATTACTGGGGAACACATTTTGGGATAAGACAGATGTTGTTTTACTTGTGTCAGAACCTGAAAGAAAATATTTATGTGTGTGTATACATACATTCACACAGTAAACTTGAGGAAGAAAGACGAAAATCTTTAATAGAAACCTTATCATTTTCTTTTTTTGTTTTTTTCCTTTTCTCTCTCTCTCTCTCTCTCTCTCTCTCTTTCTTTCTTTTTTTCTGTTGAGACAGGGCCTCACTCTGTTGCCCAAGCTGGAGTGCAGTGGCTCAATCATAGTTCACTGCAGCCTAGACCTCCTAAGGGTCAGGTGATCCTCCCACCTCAGCCTCGGGAGTAGCTGGGACTACAGGCATGTGTCACCACACCCAGTTAATTTTTGTCTTTTTTTGGAGAGACAGGCTGTGTTGTTCAGGCTGGTCTGCAACTCCTAGGCTCAAGCAATCCGCCCACCTTGGCCTCCCAAATGCTGGGAATACAGGTGTGAACCACCGCGCCAAATTTGATTAATCTTTGATCTTCCCCAAGGTTTCCTATTTACCAGGATGAGAGGGAGGAGAGATGTGAGAAGTCGAATGAGGTCTGTAAACCAGTCCTTGCAGAGAAACTTAAAAGGGACTGAGAGGGAATTACCATTGGACTTCAACACATACACCAATCAGCATGCCTCGGCTGCCAAGGCTTCAGCCTTCACAAGCGTCTCCACGACTCTCACATCTAGGCCTCCGTAACACTGGTCACATCCCCTAAGATTAATCCCAAAACCTGGACCACACACCCAGGTTCACATGAACCCAGGCTCCTCCTCACTGAGTCACATATTAAATCCTGATTACAGCCTGGAGTGAAGGCTCACGCCCGTAATCCCAGCACTTTGGGAGGCCAAGGTGAGAGGATCGTTTGAGGCCAGGAGTTGGAGACCAGCCTGGGCAACATAGTGAGACCCCCATCTCTGCAATAAGAAGATAGATAGATAGATAGATAGATAGATAGATAGATAGATAGATAGATAGATCTCTGCAATAAGTAGATAGATAGATAGATGATAGATAGATAGATGGATAAGATAGATATAGATAGATAGATAGATAGATAGATAGATAGATAGATAGATAGATAGAATAGATAATTAGATAGATAGGCGTGGTGGCGCTCACCTGTAGTCCAAGCTACTCGGGAAAGCTGAGGTGGGAAGATCACCTGAGCCCCGGGAGATGGAGGCTGCAGTGAGCCACGATCTCGCCACTGCACTCAAGCCTGTGTGACAGAGCGAGACCCTGTCTCAAAAATAAAAAAATAAAATCCCGAATCCACGGCAGACACCGTTTTCCTTGACAAAAACCACTCCTCACTCCAGTCCTCAACCACCGAGCCATACAGAGTGACCCGTAAAGGCACCAAACCCTGACCACGGACTTCCAAGCGTTGCGCTCGACAGACTGACCACTGACCACTGGGATCCCTCAGGGCTGAACCGGAGACGCCCCAACCCCAATATCCCGACTCCCACTTGCTCCAGCTTCCCCCACAAACTCCACGACTCCGCACTAAACGGACGCTCACAGACACCCTCCTCCCCTCATCCTGACAGACGGACCCACACACAGACCTGATTTTCCGGGGAACCCACCGACACTTCCCTGAGCCTGCACTTTTCCTGAATTCTTCCACTTCTGGGCCCTCCCACAGCCTCCAAGCCGGCCTACGGCGGCCGACGAAGGTCTGAAGTTGCAGGTGTACGGAGCACGGACGACTGGGCGGTAGTAAGTTCGCGTCCTCTCGTCACGGAGACTGAAGGCGGCCATCTTTGAATCCTGCACGTACGGAAGGTAAAGTGGATCTTTTCTGCCCAAGTATGCAGGGATGGCTCGGGACCGTGAAGAACCCCATATTTTGGCACCTACATCCTGCGCTCAAGTTTCATTTATTTTCAGAGGCTCGAGCTTAGCCAAGACAAACACGGAATGGGCTACGTGCACCTTAGCGGGCTGGGGGGAAAAGTCATCCGCTTTGCACAAAGAATGACGGGAATGACACAATGGGTGCGGCCATCTTAGAAGTTAGGTGTCCGTACAAGTGAAAACGCTGTCTCCGCTGAGGAAAAAGAACAATCGCACCCTGAGTCATATACCGCGAAAACGCTTCTAGCTACATGGGCAAGAGGAAGATTTTTTAGGACAAAAAGGGTGTGGAGAAGCAATTGAGGTACGAGGATATTGTTCACCCCGTCAACGGAAAGTGAAAAAACAGCGACCAGCTGGAACCTTATTTACGTTTGAGGGACATGGTCACCGCCCAGTGCAGGTAAGGAGAGCAGCCAGGAGCCAACAGGAAAAGGGAATCCAATGTGGGAGGCGGGAATTTTTCTTAAGAGAGGAGAAGGGCTTCCCTCTGCTGGAGGTGGAGTCAATCTTAAGGTCGGGGCTTTCCGAGAACCAAGTGCCTAAAATTCTATAAGGAATAAATAAGACGACTCTGGGAGAATGAAAAGTTGTGCAAGCCCGGGCGCGATGGCGCGCACGTGTAGTCCCAGCTACTGGGGAAACCGAGGCAGGAAGATAGCTTGAGCCCAGTAGTTCCAGGCTGCAGTGAGCTATGATCGCACCTATCAATAGCCACTGCACCACGCAGCCTTGGCAACCCCTTCTTGAGGAATAAAAGAAAAAAGAAAAAAAAAAAAAAAAAACGTTGTGCAAGAAAAGAAATCATAGGATACTACCTGACTGACCTATAAATATTATTTACATAGTCATCATAATGTAAATTCTAATCCTGATCCAACCTAAATTAAGACAATTCCATTGGAAGAATGAGAAGGAAATTCCTGCGTGTAGTGGAGTGTTTATATTTCTAACAGAGTTTTCACGTGTCCTTCATGATAAATCTATAGAAAATGCCCCAAAATGCAAACTCCATTTCAGAAACATACCATGTTACTTAAAATATCGAATCTGTGAAGAGTAAAAAGCTTTACAGAACTATATGACTCCTTAGGAGAATTGCAAAATAAAAGCAAGAATTTATGACTCAGGAATTTCACTCCTAAATATTTATTCAACAGTAATGAAACTATATGTCCTCACAAAGTCTCACAAGAATGTTTTGGTCCTTTTATGGATAATACCCTGAACAGGAAACAGTCCAGGTGTCCATCAGTAGATGAATGTATAAGCAAATTGTAATGTAATCATACCCTGGAGTACTACTCAAAAATAATAAAAGAACAAATCACAGATGTATGCACCATTATAGATAAATGTCAACAACCTTATGAAGGGGGCCAGCCCCTCCACACCTATGGGTATTTCTTGTCAGGTGGGACGAGAGACTGAGAAAAGAAATAGGACACAGAGAAAGTATAAAGAAAGAACAGGGGGCCCAGGGGACTGGCACTCAGCATATGTATTTCTCGTCAGGTGGGATGAGAGACTGAGAAAAGAAATAGGACACAGAGAAAGTATAAAGAAAGAACAGTGGGCGCAGAGGGTGCAGGGGACCGGCACTCAGCATATGGAGGACCCGTGCCGGCACTGGTCTGTGAGTTCCCTCAGTATTTATTGATCACTATCTTTACCATCTCAGTGAAGGGGATGTGGCAGGACTATAGGGTAATGGTGGGGAAAGGGACAGCAGGAAAACATGTGAGCAAAGGACTCTGTGTCATAAATAAGCTTAAGGAAAGGTGCTGTGCCTTGATGTGCATGTAGGCCAGATTTATGTTTGACTTTACACAAAGAGCAGTAAAGAGCAGTATTGTCACCAGCATGCCTCATCTCCAGCCATAAGGCGGTTTTCTCCTTTCTCAGTAAATAGAATGTATGATCCGGTTTTACACCAGGACATTCTATTCCATTCCATTCCTCCCAAACGAGCAGGAGACAGATGCCTTCCTCTTATCTCAGCTGCAAAGAGGCCTTCCTCTTTCACTAATCCTTCTCAGCACAGACCCTTTATGGGTGTCGGGCTGGGGGATGGTCGGGTCTTTCCCCTCCCATGAGGCCATATCTCAGGCTGTCTCAGTTGGGAGAAACCTTGGACAATACCCAGGCTTTCTTGGGCAGAGGTCCTTTCGGCCTTCCGCAGTGCATTGTGTCCCTGAGTACTCGAGACTGGAGAATGGCGATGACTTTTAGCAAGCATACTGCCTGCAAACACATTTTTAACAAAGCACATCCTGCACAGCCCTAAATCCATTAAACTTTGAGTCAACACAGCGCATTTCTGCGAGCACAGGGTTGTGGCTAGGGTTACAGATTAACAGCATCTCAAGGCAGAAGAATTTTTCTTAGTACAGAACAAAATGGAGTTTCTTATGTCTACTTCTTTCTACATAGACACAGTAACAATCTGATCTCTCTTTCTTTCCCCCACACCTTATTCTGAGAGAAAGAAGCCAGGCAGAAAGAGAGAAGAGAGAACATGTTATATGATTCCATTTACACGGAATAACAAGTGTAGTGAGGATATGGAAGAACTGGAACCTTCACATACTGCTGGTGGAAATGTAAAATGGTGCAGCCACTTTGGAAAATAATCTGGCAGTTCCTCAAATGGTTAAACATACTGACCATATGATCTGACAGTTTCACTCCTGGGTTTATATCCAAGAGAAATAAAAACATGTCCATACAAAAATTTGTGCATGAATGTTTATAGCAGCATTATTTATAATAGCCTGAGGTGAAAACAACTCAATTATCCATCATCTGATGAAGGGAAAAATAAAATTAGTATTGTGGGGAAAAGAAAGAGGGATCAGACTGTTACTGGGTCTATGTAGAAAGAAGTAGACATAAGACACTCCATTTTGTTCTGTACTATAGAAACTCTTGTGCCTTGAGATGCTGTTAATCTGTAACCCTACCCCCAACCCTGTGCTTGCAGAGACATGTGCTGTGTTTACTCAAGGTTTAATGGATTTAGGGCTATGCAGGATGTCCTTTGTTAAAAAAGTGCTTGAAGGCAGTATGCTTGGTAAAAGGCCATTCGCTAATCTCTAGTACCCAGGGACACAAAACACTGCGGAAGGCCTCTGTCTAGGAAAGCCCTCTGTCTAGGGACCTCTGTCTAGGAAAGCCAGGTATTGTCCAAGGTTTCTCCCCATGTGCTAGTCTGAAATATGGCCTCGTGGGAAGGGAAAGACCTGACCGTCCCCTAGCCCGACACCCATAAAGGGTTTGGGCTGAGGAGGATTAGTAAAAGAGGAAGGCCTCTTTGCAGTTGAGCTAGAGGAAGGCATATGTCTCCTGCTCGTCCCTGGGCAATGAGAAACCTGTGTAAAACCTGATTGTATGTTCTATTTACTGAGATAGGAGAAAACCGCCCTAGGGCTGGAGGTGAGATGTGGTAGTGGCAATGCTGCTGTTTAATGCATAGAAATGTTTGTGGAGATGTTTGTTTACATGCACATCAAGGCACAGCACCTCTCCTTAAACTTATTTATGACACAGAGATCTTTGTTCACATGTTTTCCTGCTAACCCTCTCCCCACTATTACTCTATTGTCCTGCCACATCCCCCTCTCTGAGATGGTAAAGATAATGATCAATAAATACTGAAGGAACTCAGAGACCTGTGCCCACATGGGTCCTCCATATGCTGAGCACTGGTGCCCCGGGTCCACTTTCCTTTCTCTGTACTTTGTCTCCGTGTCTCTTTCTTTTCTCGAGTCTCTCGTTCTACCTGACAAAAAAACGCCCACAGGTGTGGAGGGGCAGGCCACCCCTTCAACTATAGCCATACATTAGAATATTATGCAGGTATAAAAAGGAATGAAGTGCTGAAACATGCTAAAACATAAATGAACCTTGAAAACGTCCTAAAGGAAGAAGCCAGTCAC